TTTCAGGCTGCATCGTTTCAACTACGGGCGGCACAGACATGAATGTCAAAGCCAGGATCGGAAAAGCAAGACAGGCTTTTACTAATTTGAAATCAGTGCTCCTGTGTTGTTCAGAAACTTGGCGGGTTACGAAAGAGATTTCGAAGTAACTACAGACATTCATCAACAATTGCCTACGCTGACTCGATACTCAAGATGGTGATCTGATAGGCAGAAAGAATAAGCAATGAGGAACTCTGGCGTAGCAACTAATAAGCAGTAAAAGAAAGTGGAGATGGATTGGATTGGGTATACACCGAGAAGGCCGACTAGGGACATCACGTGCCAGACCAGGTCTTCGAGTGGAATCCAAAAAGAGAAACGACGAGTTGGGCATCCAAGGCGAGGGTGACATGGAGAAGATGATATGAGGAAGAAATGAGAGCTTGTGAGCAGTCATGGAGTGAGGTTCAAAAGACTGCAGAGAAGACAGTGCAGTGAAGGCTTGTTACTGAATCACTATGTTCCACTACAAACCCAAGAGAAAAATAATGATAATCATAAAAAATTAGAAGACGAAGATTATCTGAACAATATTTGATGTGCATTTGCGCAATACACTTCAAACAATTTGATCGTCCACACCTTTACTTCTCTCAAATCAATTTATATATAAAAAATTAAAGGTCAAATATAGTGAATAAGTCGGAAAAGAACCTATAAGACTTGGATTTCGCCGATGACTTGTGTCTGATGTAGCACAAACTTGAAGATCTACAGGTGAAAACTAACAAGTTGATAGAAGAAGCAGAGCAGAGAAAACGGGACTTCAAGTGAATATAGAGAAGACAGAGGTGATGAAGATACACAACTAATAACACCACCAACAACAATAACAAGCTCCAATCACCATCAACAGGAGAAACTTAAACGAAATAACCTCTTTCACCTACCCACCTCAGCAGCATCGTTTCAACTACAGGCAGCGACACAGGCACAGACGAAGACATCAAAATCAGACACGATCGGAACAGCAAGACAGGAGTTGATTAACGTGAAACGAGTGTGGAGATCATCTTCACTGCACTGCACTGCACTGCACTCAGCATAAAGCCTGAACAACATCCAGATTTTCAACACCAATTCAGTCAAGTCAGTACTTCTATGTGGTGGTTGAGAGACTTGGTGCCTTACGAAAGGCATTTCCAACAAACTACAGATATTCATCAACAACTGCCGCCTACACTCACTGAATACCGAAGATCAGATCGGATGACCAGAATAATAAGAATAAGCAAGGAGGAACTCATTGTGACTGGTGACGAACCAACCAAGAAGCTATCGCTCAACGAGTATGCAGTAGGAGGAGATGGAGATGGATTGGGCATACACTGAGAAGACCATTTGGGGACATCACGCAGCAGGCCAGTTTCTCGAGTGTAACCTCGATAGGAATCGACGAGTTTGGCTTCGGAGCTGAAGGTGAGATGGAGGAGATGGTGTGTGAGGAAGGAAATAGAGGTTGTGGGCAGTTATGGAGGTAGGTTCGAAGGATTGCAGAGAAGAGAGTGGAATGTAGACTTGTTACTGAATCTGTGTGTTCCATTAGGAACCCAAGGGGCAAATAATGGTAATAAAGTTTTCTGTAGTCAAAATGTCTCTTAACTTGAGATAAGTAAATGTATCGAGGATCAGATTGTTGAAAATGTGTATTACGCGGATACGCGACGTATTTTTTGGCTAATCTTCGTCTTCTAATAACGGTATGAAGGTTTTTTTGCTGGCTTCTGTCTCATAAGAAGGTGAGAAGGCTGACAGATACACACTGCTGAAGAGATACATACTAAGACAAAACAGTTATAGTACACTACCAAGTTTCCAATGTTTCTTGAGCTGATTTCAGTTCATGATGACTATCAAAATGAAGCTAGAATGTTTTTTTTATTTTATTTTATTTGTCTTTTGGGTTCCTAGTGGAACATAGGGTTTTGGTACCACGTCATCATTTCACTCTCTTCTCTCCAGTCTTTTTAACCACCTACCTACACAACTTCCCATAAACTTTCATTTCTTCTTCACACGATTTCCTTCATATCACACACTGTCCGGATGCCCAACTCGTCGTCTCGTATTTGGCTTCCAGTCAAAGACCTGGAATCGCCTTGTCTGGCGAATCGTGTCCACAAACCACCTTCTGAGTGTAGGCCACATCCATCTCCACCTTCTTCTACATATTTTTTAGACGAAAGGTTCCTGGTTGGTTTGTTGCCAGTCACAGTAACTTCTATATTGCCTATCCTTTCTGGTCATCTCATTTGAACTGATCTTCAGTATGGAGTGAGTGAAGACGGCAGCTGTTGATGAATGTCTATAGTTTGAATGAAATGCCGTTCGTAACGCACCAAGCCTCACAACTATGTAGAAACAAGCACTGACGTGACTGACTTCGTGTTGAAAACGCGGATCTTGTTGTTCATACTGAGTGCAGTAGATCTCCACAATTTTTTCACACTGTTGAAGGCCTCTTCCTGACATATCGTGCCATCCAGTGAGTTCTCAGGAAAAGGTTTTCTAATTCGGGCAGATGTGTGTGATTACTGCTAGTTGAATTCCAAAGAGACGTCAGTCTTAAATGCTGTAACAAAACATTGTTTTGTAGAGTTTATCATTGTTCAAAAGATGAAATCCATATGCTCCGATAATCGGACTGAGCCTGATCCGCTAGTTTGACCTACACATCTAATCTCACTTAGAGTTAGTATACAGTTGGTTCCACTTGTATTAAAGTTACCATTCAAATTGTTATTATTACCCTGTTTCTCAGGTGTTCTTAACAATTTCTTAAAGAACTCTTAAGGATAATTATGGTTCACGTTTGCCCAATGGGATGTTCCCATTTGCATCCACTTTTTATAGTTTCCGTTTTTTAGTACTAATGAGTAGTATAGTTACCATTTCTTAAAATTTCGCTTCATCCTTATCCTATCTTATTTACTATTTAATTTCCACAGATTTCAGTATTATTCACAGTTCATGATGGTGTTGTAATTCACTGTTCTCATTATGAAAATTTACGCGCATCTTTTATACTCCCTTCTAATAGCCTGGATACAGTTTTCTTGTTTCAACTGTTGACATACTGTCTCTAAAGTGCTTCGATAACGATAAACCCGAGAATTGGGTTTCATACATAACTCCAGAGTTTGGTTTCTTCTTAAGAAATCACCTGTTTGCATATAGTTTTATGGAATGAAATTGATGAGTAATGTTTGCGCTACGATTATGAGCAATAATTTATGCAGTTAAACTATACTATGCCATTCACAGTGTGCTGTGCGCTTAGCATCGCCTGGCGCGTCATATCCCCAAACCACCTTCTTAGTTTATGGTTGATTCGTTGCCAGCTACAGTGAGTTCCTCCTTGCTTATTCTTTCTGGTCATCTCATTTGAACTGATATTCAATATCGAGTGAGTGAAGACGGCAGCTGTTGATGAATGTCTATAGTTTGTTGGAAATGCTTTCTGTAACGCACAAAGTCTCTGAACCATACAGAAACAAGTACTGGCGTGACTGAAATTAGTGTAGAAAACGCGGATCTTGTTGTTTATGCTGAGTGCAGTTGCGGTAGATCTCCACACTGATTTCACGTACATGAAGGCCAATGTTCCTTTGTTTTTATGATCCTGGCTTTGATGTCCTCATCTGTGCCACCTGTAGTTGAAACAATGCTGCAAATCCTGTAGGGTCTTTTCATTGGTCAAACAGTGGACGTATACCTATTTTCTCACTCCCTACAGTTTCTTGCATGGTCCAGTTCAGTCGAGTCGACCATAATCAGGAAGATCATCAGTGATACTAGGCGACAAACTTGTCTGTCTGCACTTCACTCCACTTCACTTCAAAGGCATCACTCAGCTTTCCATTATCAATCACTTGGCATGTAGCATGTAGCTGCTGTTGAATGGGGTTGATAAAGGTTTGTGGTACTAAAACCGTAGTGTTGAAGCAGCTGCCTGCCAAACTACTTCTTAGTTGACTCTGTTGAAGGCCTTTTTAAAGTTAATGAAGTTGAGGTAGAGAGGTGACTGCCATTATCTGTTCTTTTCGATGATGATGCGTAGCGTAGCGTCGCAATTCAATCCGCCTGTTATTTGTTTTTCGTGAAGCCAGCCAGCCTGTTCCGGTAGTGGTTTTGAATGCAGAGTATTTTTTTAGTCTCTCCAGGATGATGCAGCTTAATATTTTGTTTGAGGTGGACAGGTGCATGATTCCGTGCTAGTTCTTACAAAGACTTTGGTCACTTAGGTATTTGGGAGTTTGACAATGTAGGTCTTCCTCAATCGGCAGGTACCTTTCCTTCCTTCCTTCCAAACGAACCTTTTGCTATAGAGGTATGAGCATGTCCTCTGATGTCTCTGTGTCTGTTTTCAGTGCTTCTGGAATAATTCAATCTGGTTCACGCAGTTGATTTCACTTTAGTGTTTGTAATAGTCTGACATCAGTTGGAGAAACATTCGAAACCTGGAATCACTGAACATATGTTTTGTCCTAATATGGGTCTCCTGAGCAGCGCGTACACCTGATATCATGACATCTTGCTCCTTAAGTTAGTACGTTACCACTGTGACACTTGCGTAGGTCACAGACAAACCCTCTGAAGAGGAACAGCGCTATCTATCTTAACTAAGTGGATATGAGAATTGGAATACGGAAATTTAGTCACGTTTCGCTTTCTCTCTCTCTCCACCAACCGTGCCTGTTAGTTACCATAACAACACCTAAATAGTAATCAGATCTTTACAATATGCACTATTCAGTTAGAGAAATACCTTTTTTTTTTATCTACATATATATATATATTGTTTTCACGAAAGTAGGCCACATAAAATGTTGAACAAAGACATTCTACTCAAATGATTTTTATGTAGATCAGAGATTGCAAAACGTTTTTTTTTCGTTGGACAACAAATTTATGCATTCAAATCAGTAATCAAATGAATACATGATTGGTTGAGAGAAAGAAAACAGGTAATGAATACATACCAAATAAACAAACGTAAGTATACATGAGTTGAACTTCATTTATGGTGTAAGTATTTAAACAAACGGAACAGCGGAATATTCGAACACTGTGCTACAATGGATAAATAAGTGATTAAGTCATTTATTTTTCATAGAAATGAAGCAGATATCTAATGGAAAAAGCGAAATGGAATATAAATACGCTACATTAAGACATAATTACTTATCTTGGCTTTGTGAACATTATAAATTGAATTTAGGACAAAAGAGAGATGTTGACATGAAACAACGATTAGGTAAGTTTATAAATATTCATTGTTTTGAAATAATGAAGATGGATGATCTTGACTGCATTGTGTTCTTTGAGGAACTGGGTTGTTTAATCATGAAGCCTTCATCGTCTTTCTGGACGATATCATCAGCAATAACTTCAATATGAAGTTAGTGAAGTTAGAGCTCATGACGTCATCTAGAAAGACGATGAAAACTTCATGATTATTGATTGTTTTGGATACATGATAATGATTAGAGATGAAGTAAAAATATACCAGTTGACTCTAGAAAGTAAATCATCAGCACGTCATGTATAGAATGGTTCATAAGATGCTGTTCTGTGGACTCAGATTGTTGTCGAAGGCTACAGAGCTACGAGAAATTGAAGATGGTGAAGCACCGTTAATTGAGAGACGTGAAAGAAGATTAGAAGGTAATGATGAGGGAGGTGGATGGCAGTGAGAAGAAACTTGAGTGCTGATCGATTTGTGAGGGCAGTTGATACTTCCCGACTGTCCACACCGTGGAAGGCTATTTCTTCTTAAGGTACCTGAAAGAGATTTTTGTGACCGCAGAGCCTATCGGCTTGAAGCCTGTTTCACGTAGCGTTTTGGGTATGATTATTTTGAACTTTTGTATTTTTGGGTCCGGATGGTCGAAAGGAAACGACAAGTAAACCGACACCGCTGGCCCGGCAGACTGTGGGGCATGGTGGAGTGTGTTATTTTTGGGGCCAACCTTTTCTAACCCCCCCGCCTTCCACTGGGAAGGCATTATTAGCATGGCACTGCTGGTCATTTAAGGGAAACACCTTACTGCTGTCACACTCCATCCAGCTGGTAGCAGTACGATTTCGCCCTCAGACCCCCATCATAGTGTAGCAATTTACACCACAACGGTAACTGCTTTTCATCTTACCACTATCCAACAGACTTTTCTGGTATGGTAGGACATCGAGGCAACAGGTGTTCCACCAGCATGGCTCATTGGGTCATTGTGATATGCAAGCCCGACCATAACGTCAAGGTAGCAGCTATCGGTCGGGTTCATAGGAAGTATATAACTCAGAAAAGGGTGAAGCATTTGGTGCAAGTGATAACTCATTCAAGTATTATGTAACAGGATTAGATAACTTAATCAAGATGAAATCAACGTTCTCTAAAAATACAATTAAGACAATGAAGTAAAATAATACAGGAATCTAATCAAAGTGAAACCAATTATAATGGTGATGATAAAGGAAGGATACAAAGGTTAAATTAGCAAAGGAGAAGAGGAAGGTAATAGACTTGAGTGAATGTCATAGACATGGTAAAGCATACTGTCTGTACATACTACTTTTATACATGCGGACGAGATTGTAGTTCATGAGTAGCTAAAGCCTTTTACTGTTCTATGGAGTTGAGAAAGAAGAGAACGTCAGAGGTTCGAGTGAATATGATAAAGAATTTTGAAGTCATTTTCTAAGTTTGTCAAATAATGAAAATCAATTGAATCTCCTAGAATTATTGCTGAGAATACCTCTATTACTACTACTACTACTACTACTACTACTACTACTACTACTACTACTACTACTACTACTACTACTACTACTACTACTACTACTACTACTACTACTACTACTACTACTACACCACTACTACTACTACTACTACTACTACTACTACTACTACTACTACTACTACTACTACTACTACTACTACTACTACTACTACCACTGCTAGTACGTTTCTTTCGACTTCTTATGAATTCATCGATACATTTTGATGGGTAATTATTGAGGAGACGTAGAGTATTCTTGATGTGTCTAATTTCTTGTCGCAGATTTTTCCATCTACTAGTAAGCTATTTCGCTCTATCACTAGGCATTTAACTAAGCCTACTTTAACTTAAATCGGGTGCAAGGATTCGAAGTCTAAGTAGCGATTCGAATGGGTAGGTTTCCTATAGACACAACTCTCTAGATTTCCTTCTTGTATTCGTTTAATCTTGCAATCCAACATTGCTAGCTCACCTTCTTCACTTTCTAAGTCACAGGTGAATTGGATTGTATTTATTACTGAATTTATATGTGCCAAGAACCCCTTTGATGTGCTTCAATTTCAGTAGTGTAAACGTATCATCTACATGTGGAGAGTATATCTTTAGAGTAGGACTAAATGTTTGAAGGGCTACCTGTTCCCAACTATCCATAAATATATCTGAGACGATAGAAGATATTGTTGAAGCCATGACAACACCCTCAGTTTGTTTATATATTTTATTTTGAAACTTAAAACTGTAGATGTTAGACACAATCATACTCCTAGCATGATTTCCTAGATCAGCACCTTACTTCGATGAGTAAGTTATCTGTCATCCAGAAGCCCATTTGTAAATGCCTCTAGAGCCATGTCAATCGGTATATTTGTGTAAAGGCAAGTTACGTCAAAACCAACCAATTTTTTCAATGTCATTTAAGTGTATGTTGTCTAATCTGTACTTTAAATCTGATTAGACTTAACCCGTAAGTCGGAGTGTTTCTAAAATCTACTATAGGCTTGATGGAATAACCAGGCTTGTGAATCTTAATAGTACCATATATTCTACTGGGATTATTAGTTTCCGGCACTAAATTAAACCAATTTGATGCACGTAGAAACATCATCTGGCGTATCAGATCCCTGTGGTTTTTCTAACCTTATTCATAATACTATCTATCTACTGTCTTCTTAATTTCCTCATATTTTCCTGTTTCTATGTGCTCGTTCACTTTATAGATGTAGTCAGACTTACAACTGATGATTTGCCTTTATCCGAATCGGCAATTACTATATTGTTAAGATTTTGAAGGTTCCTGAGAGCTTCTGTCTCTGACTTGGATAAATTAATCTCGTTTACCAAATCCCTTGCAATAATTGCCAGGTCAAGAACATAGGTCAAAGTAGTGGACCAGGGTCGATTAGAATAACAGAGCACAAAAACGTCAAGCTAAATCAACATTAGTAGATCGCAATAAGATAAGAAATCTAGAGAAAAGCACACCTGGTCATAGCTCTGCATGCGATGACACACAGTCACACAGTAGGGTGGGATAGGGCGACAGTGTTGAAAACTAATTTAGTTGGGTGGAGGGAGGGAGATATTGATAACCGACTGAATCTTTGTTTATCGAATCAACACCAAATACATATGGTAATCGAAATGATTCTGCACCTATCCCAGATATATGGAAAATTCTACTACCCTTGTCATCACAGAGAAGGAGAGAAAACTAGGAATATATAAAGACTGTCTCGAAGCAGTGGATTTAGTTCCCTGATGTGAATATGGACAATCAATTTTGTGTGTCTTTGTGTGTGTGTGTGTGTGTGTGATATTTCTATTAATCAGACTATTATGGAGTTACAATCGACCACAGTGCCTACGTTTTACTCCTATATTAATGTTCAAGGAATTGGACAAGGAAAAGGTAGCTGAAGAAAGATGAGTATTCCAAAATGTTTTGAAAGAATCACAGATGGAAACATATTTCTCTTGACTAGTATACCTTGAAGCAACACACTTTCAAACACATTGATACTGTCACTTCCCGACTTCTAGAGCTCAAACATAATGGAATTATCCACCAGTGAAAGTTATGTAAAAGGTTGAAGTCTATCAGTAAAGAAACCATCTTTCCTTTGTATCCTGAGAAATATGTATTCAACTTTTCAAATATATACATCATTAATCTCAATTAAAATGAAAATATTGTTATGCCAAGATTTCTACTCCGTCCAACTAGTAAAAGAATGATTTCATCGGATATCATGTTCGTCTTCATAAATATCTTACTGACAGAAACCATCTGCTTCCTATATGAATTCATTGAATGTCATAGATATTTGTTGTCCCAATTCACTGCGTAAAAGAGCTTCTCCTCTGATGATGCGGCAATGGGTTCTCCATTAGAACCTCTTCTAGCTGACAGCTTCATACCATACCTGGAAAATATCAACTTATCATCAACAACCAATGAACTGCATGTCTACGAAAGATACATTAATGATACCTTTATAGTTTGTGATGAAAATATGAATCTTACAACCCTTCAACCAAATCTATTGTAAAATTGAAATCAGTCTCAACATTCCATTATCTTGATGTTCAACTTCAAAGAAAAGACAATAATCCACTTGGTAGATTAGTCTACAGAAAACCTATGTGGAATGGACAGTTTATAAATTTTCGGAGTTCGAACCCCTTATATAGGAAAAGGAATCTTACCGCATTAAACTTTATTTTCTTATCAAGATTAGAGTCATCTTTGTCATCCTTCCTCCTTTTTTTCTCACGTTTTCCTACTATCTTCATTTGTCTAATTGTCCTTAAACTAACATGAATTGGAGAAAATAATGGGGAACCTGAGTGTATTGGACAGATATTTATTCCTTGTATTGGACCCCTTTGTAAGGGACATGTACAACTCACCCTACCTAACCAGGGATTGAAGGAAAACACTGATTTATCACTTTCATTCAAGATTAGACTGTGCAAAGTTGTTTAACTCCCAGTGAATCATCAGTGTACCTAATCCGAACAGCTCAGTTGTAACATCTCCAAAGAAATCCGTGGATGGAATCGGTTTGATCCAGGATATGAATTTCGTCGATGGTGCTGGTTTCCTGCCATTCAACTTACAGTAACTATCCACTGATAAATTCAGGTTTCAAGTCCTAAGTCAATTTACTATTACTAGTCGGTTTTTATTTCATCTACACTGGGATTCACATCCTTGATTTGAACTTTTAGTACGATCTGCCTTCAACTTCTCACTTGTTCAACTTTTACAGAAACTTTTTTTCTGAACTGCCACTTGTCATTGCCGGAAGATATGAGAAGGTTTCAGGTGTTTGACCACAGTTGCCTTTGTAGCATAGGCCATATTCCGTGGTATCACCACGTGAGTAACGCAGAAGTGAAGTGTAGGGTTTTATAGAGAAGAGATAAGTCAGTTGACATGATTGTGAAGCCTAGTCGCGATCTGCCTCGTCATACA